CTCCTCCTCCGCTGCGACGCCTCCTGAACCCACCACCACTGCACACAGTCCTATCACACCGACAAACATCAACCCCCACGCAAGTAAAGCCACCGTTTAAGAATCGATAAATACCTGTCCTCAGGGCGACCGCACCTTCACCTCACACATCAACCTAGTCAGTCTCTTGAGAATTCATCGCACAGAGACTGGCGAGTCAGTGCTTGGAGCACCAACCTACATCCGCCGCACTCGCCTCCGCTGTCCACACTGTCCCCGCACATTCACTAACCGCATGGGTCTATTCGGTTACACGCGTATCTATGAGAGCAGAATTGACCGCTGTCTTGACACATCCAGCACTTCTTGCACATCCACCATGGCTAACTTTACACACACCCTGCCGCCCAGAACGCGCACCACCATCAGCTCCACCACAGTCAGCGTATCCTGCACACCTACCATGCCTAACCCAACGCACACTCCTTTGCCCCGCGTGATCAGCATCAACAGCTCCACCATTGCCATCATCTCCGAAACCAGCACCAACACCATCGACTTTTCCCGTCAACACTGTCCCTGCACATTCACCTCACGCATCGGCCTGGTCGGTCACTTGAGAATCCGTCGCACAGAGACTGGCGAACCGGTGCCTGGAGCACCAACCTACACTCGCTGCATCCGCCTCCACTGCCCACATTGCACTCGCACAGTTGTGCACCGCATGGGCCTTTCGGCCACATGTGGTTCCACGAAAACCTGCGGTAGACAATCGCCGGCTGCGCCACCATCACATCCTCACTCACCAGCATCTCATTGCACATCAACGTCACCTAACATAAGCATCCAACTGCCAATACCCACGCAAGTTGGAAGTGTGCGGCTCGACTCCGTCTCCAAGAGGCCTCTCTGCTGCATGTGTGACCAAAATCTGAGACTGTCACGGTGCGTCCAGCACCGTGGCTTGGAAGGCTACTGACTGACGCTCCAACTCAGTCCACGCAGTCTGCCCAGTCGCGTGCGCGTGTGTGTGGAATGGCGAACTGGTGGGCTGAGAGCCGGGCAGGAACAGCCACTTCTAAACGTGACCTAGGGCGCTCTCACGCATGTGAGGTGTACGCCGCCCAACCCCCGTTTCCTGAAATCCTGGTGCTTGTGTTTGGGGGGCCAGGTCGTGCACGTGACGTATGCAGACAAAGTCACTAGATATGTCAGCAACCGCGCCCACTCGCCGCACCTGTCAACTGATCCGCTCGGACAGTGGCGGAGACCTGGGAATGGGAAGGGAGAGTGTGGTAGAGGACTCAGCGCATTTTCCTCACTATACAAATCTGACGCGCCTGCAGCTATCACAGTGCGTTAAAAACCGTGGCTTGGATGGTTGCGAACTGATGGGATAACTTGGACCTCGTAGTCGGTCCACTGTTGTGTGTTTATGCGGAGTGGCCAGCTGGTGGTCGAAGAGTCAGGCTGCAATGGCTCCTTCTTGATGTTGCCTTTATGACATTCCCACTCCGTGGAATCCGAGTAGCGTGTGGCGGCATGCCTAGGTGCGGTTTCGGTCGTACCAGCCTCCATTCTTTTGTCTTTTTTGGTTAAAATTCTGGTCAGGTATGTGTTGTGGACTACAGGGTGTGGTGGCACGCCTGGATCCGGGTCCGACCGTGTCAGCCACCTGCGTTGCCCCGCTTCCGGTCTTCTTGACTCTGTCTTGGCACCGGGTCCAGGTAGGGAGTGGGGAAGAGCGAGTGCGGTAGATGCCGCGCAAGCCACCGTCACTGATTTACCCTGCTCTGAATCACACGGTGGACATCGTCAGCAATGACGGTCTAACTACCAATTACGGTTACGATGCCTTGGGTCAGCGCTGCCTGCATGACTCCTCTTCACGTGAACCGTTTGTAAACAGCGACCTAGCAGCGCCTTGTCCAATTGGACAGCAAGGCGCTTGCACCTTGGTCTGACGAAAATTTATTGAGAACTACATGTGTAAGGCGAAATTTTCTCCATAACTGACTGATGAAACTTTTCGCAGAACTTATACATACACGTAATTAGCCCCAACAAATGCATTAGGGGTCTACAAACAAAGGGCGACTGTATAGAGAAGGACCCCACTTAACTGTCAGTAGACTGTGGATCGTGCCGTACGTGATTTATGGAAAAGGAAGTTTTATGGGTGGGCAGCACGCTAGAAAGTAAGCTGACAAAATGGAAGAAAACGCAGAAATTGCCTGGATTTATGCCGAGAGTCTTATCCTACGCTATTGTACGACGCTTGAAATGAGAATAGTAAGTGAACAATAGGCAAAATAAATTTCATCAAATAACGGATTTTGAGTTAATGTGTGAGGTCGTGGGGGGTAATCGTTGTTGGCAGTGTAATTTTTGCAACAACCTGAAAATGTATGCTAAGATAAAACCCCATATGACACGATACACAATCTACTGACAGCTAAGTGGGATCCTTCTGTATACCGTTGCCCTACAAAGTGAGAGTTTCACTCCGAATAAAGACACGACCTGAAGTCGCAAGAGCCTAATATAATTCTACCAACGGCGCAAGAGGACGAGGCTGTACATAATGCTCGTGCACAGAGCGGCTGGTTTGTGCAC